ATGAAGAGTAAAGAAGAAGGAAATCACCAGTCCAACCTCCCGTAAGCCACCACCCAAAATGCAAAAGCTTGGTGGTCGCTCACGGGAGGTGGTCGCTCACGAGGGTCGGGCCGCACTGAAGGGCGAAATTTTTTAGGCAACCTAGAATGAAGTGGTATATCTATTCTAAAGAAAAGAAAATGAAAGTTTGCCTTTCCCTGCTAGCTACTGGTACTTTTAATGACAAAACGATTAGTTATTCTATGTCACAGTCAGGAGCTCCTGTCACAGTTCATTTACGGAAGTGTCTCTAAAACTTCTGATGAATAAAAACTTTTAAGTTTAAAACTTCTGAAACTGAAACCTGGAGATATGAGTCTTTTTCTCAAGGGTAATGGTTGATATTGTAGTTATAGATCGAACTAATTAACACAGTAATAGATGTGTGGATAATAATGACAGCCAAAGAATAAATTCCTTTTTGTCCCTTTTTAAAATGTAATTCACTGTCTATTAAGACTATGTGTCAAGTGGTCGCTTAACGGAGGTTTATAACCATAGAAAATTAATTCTAAAACTGTCCGCCGGAATAACGATCGCGGTCGCTTACGGGAGGTGGTCGTTTACTAGAGGTTCCAGAATAATGCTTTGAGAGAGAACACTTTTGGTGTTTTGGGAAGGTGGTCGCTTATGAGAGGTGGTCGCCTACGGAAGATGGTAGCACGTGGAGTTTAAAAGGAAAAAGGTCCAGTTTACCACAGATGAAGTTGGATTATCTGTAGTGTGAGCCGGATACTCGCACATAGGAATCGCACAGGCCATGCGTGTGTTCTTTAGTGGTATCGTTCTATAACGTTCTCATATCGTTCCCACACGGAGAGAGCTTGTTTTAAACTGCAGGCCAGTGTACTAAGGGTAAGAAATATAGATCATGCAAAGGCTCAGAAATATGTATCAAATTCACAAAACTTCTATCTGATATGGAAAAGACAAGACATTTATGACCTTAATATTGTTTACAATTTCTTGGCACGCAGTTAGCCAAAAACGCTAGTCATGGCGTGCCAAATTTATTCTATTACCAGATTACAAAACAGATATCACCTGGTAATAAGTAAAAAGCAAAGAGAAAAGAAAAGAAAGAATACGTGTATGAATAAAACGTCTAATAGTGCTGTCAGCAATAGAAGTAGCTGCCATTTTACACTTTATTCAGGTTAAAGAAATACATCATGGAGAATGCTGAAAATACCATTTCGAACGACTGGATTTCGAAATTTTCTGGGGGAGGATGCACCCAGACCCCCGTACAAACTCGCCCCTTCGGCGCTCGTTTTTAAGCCCCCCCCCCCCCCCCCCCAGTTAAAAACACGCTCCGCCATCCCTGAGGACAAGAACGACCACGACTACGAGATTTTACTCAAAGTTTTTTTCGCGTATTCTCAAAAATAGACACTTCGGAAAGCTTCATTAGACTTTAGTTTACCAAAAGGGTTTGTAATGTTATCTTTATTGCAGGATATTAAGCTCGGATGTTACTAAAACGGGGAACGGGGAGCTGAGAACGAGCACAGGGAAAGGGAAAATGAAAAATGGGAACAAAATCTAACTTGAACCCTGGCCCTATCGGTAACTATATTTCCGATTCTCTGCAATTTGTTCATATTTTCCAACTCCGTTCCCCGTGCTCCGGCGTTCCCTGCTCCCCGATTTAGTAACATCCGGAGAACCCTCAACCGATCGCAAAATGATAAAACTTCTAACATTTCATAATTTGTGTCCACCACTCTAAAGCTCTTTGTAGACTATCACTATCGACTATCGACCATCACATTTTCCCGCCAAAATAACGCTGATTCACGCGCGAGTACTTAGTATTGAGAAAATCTGGTACTCGTAGTCGTCTTCATCTTAGAATCTAAAGGTCTCTGCCCTGTGGTCTCTATTGTTCAAAAAGGCCGTTATTTAAAATTATTTTAGAAAGCCATTGTTGTCGTCATCTTTTTGAACACGAAATAGTTAACGACGAAGTCCGCGCGCTCTTTTGGAAAAACGTTACCGTTGCCCGGTACCGTTGCAATGCAAGAAGCAATGATGCAAACACAAACCACCAAATTACTTTACCATTTCTTGAAATAACAAGAGGTGTTGTTAACAAGTAGGTTTCACTAATTTAGCTGTAATAATATGAGAGAGGGCCATAAAGGAAAAAAGAAAATTGTGTCTTTAAACACCGAAAAGTCGGGTGAAAATGGAGAAAAATCAGGTCAACACTTTAATCTTGCTAAAGATGTAACACGTAGCAAGGGTTTAACGAAAGTTCCAGTTGAAGAATTCAGTAAACAAGACCACAGGTAAGTGGACTGAAATGAGTTTTTTGTTTTTGAAGAATCTGCTCAAGCAGGAGTTATACAACTTAGCGCGTCGTGTCGCGCGGCCAAAAAAACTTTGTGAGGACATAGAACTTGCGATCACAGGTGGCCCAAGCGTAATATGAGAGTTTGAATGGGAAAAAAAGAGTTTGAAACTTAGATGAAATAAATGAAGTAAAGGCGATAAAAGTTAGAGTACTTTTACATCATCTGACCTGACAGTGTAATAATAATTTAGTCTATTCGTAAAAACAAAGACAACGACTCCGGGTAACAATATCTACACTTTCTTGATAACTTTTATCGCCTTTACTTCATTTATTTCATCTAAGTTTCAAACTCTTTTTTTCCCATACAAACTCTCATATTACGCTTGGGCCACCTGTGTTGCGACTTTAAAACAATGGACTCTTCTTGTTGCAATTCTGTTATTCGTCGACCGTCTACATGAACGCTATTATTTAATCATGCTACGCCACCGGAGTTAAACCAGTAGTCCAATGTTGAGAAGCGTGAATTATCATTTGTTCATCTATATTGCTTTCATTGGCATATAATGCAATCCCCGACAGTACACTGTAGATCAGGGCGGATAAAGGTTGGGCGGTGAAACGAGCGCGTCCGAGCAAAAAGGTGTGATGCAGTGGACTGGGACTCTGCTTAGAAATGTCGCTTGTTTTCGACCTCGGTCAGGGCTTGCGATGTGGTTTGTCCATGGCACTACCGCTGTCACTGAATTATGGCGGCTTGATTTGTTTTCTTGCAACTTCTTCCTCGTTCCTTTTTGCTGGTACGCTGTCTCCGAGAGGCAAATGTTGCTATTTTTTGCGAGAGGTTTAGTTGGAGTAGATGTTGTAGTTAATTTTTTATCCTAGGTAATTTTTATTTTTCCTTTGTTTCAACTTCATTAGCATACATTACCATACCAAAAAACAAAAGAATAACAAAAATTACCTGGGATGAAAATTTATCTACAACATAGACAAACGTCTCTTTCAAAGAGTTTCTATTATTACTTGCATGGCTCTACCACTGAATTATATTTTCGTTCTCTTACTCGCCAATGTCGATGTTATTCCAAAACAAAAACAACTAAGTACTGTCTAAAACACGAAGGAAAATCTCATCCATGTCATCCATGGCAAAACAAAAAGACAGCAGATCGTGTTTCATAACTAGATGATGTGTATCTTATAAATGCGTGCAGCTCGTGCAAGGTGAAATTATGCTAATTTCAATCACCATCATCCTTTTTTTTAATTTTGAAAAAAACATCTCATACGTCTTTCTGTTTCTTCGAAACTTCAAAATTAGTTTCCCCTCAGTTTTTACTGTTTACCTTGTTTTGTTTTAGAGAGAAAAACGGAGAAAAAACCCTGCAACTAACCTCAATAAATTTTGTTTACATGCGGTTGCCGGATTTGCGACGCATTGCGCGAATCGCCATGGCGCGTTGCACCCGAGAAGCAAAGTTTGAAGCAGTACAACGCCACTATATCAAAATATATCAATCTAATTTTTTGTTATGTCATGTAAAATTTCTCCGCCCTTAACATATGTAAAAATTGAGGTTAGGAAGTGTTAAGCTTTTGCAAACGAAACGGCGAAAGACGATCAGGTGATATTTAGTGGAAGGAGGTGGTATTCAACACTTTCAAATTAAACTCAAATTTTGGCATTACATGACCAACAAGTTTGACTTATAGGCATACAGACACAAACATATGAAACTGTTTATTGATATTGTTATGAAACGAATTTATCTATTTAACATTGTAGCCTGAAATTACAGAAAGAAAATAAAATTTCTGGTTTGCAAAAAGGAAAATTTCGCCGGCCCTCAAGCGCACTGGAAGCGCGGAAAGAGCGCTCGTGCCAGTCCTACTCCGCATCACACATTAAATGAAGAGCGGAGCGCTCGTTTCACCGCCCAACATTTATCCGCCCTGCTGTAGATGAACACGTTAGCTAAACAAGCCGGAGCACGCGCGTAACATAAATTTTTAAACACATATTTATCAGTCGTCAGTGGCGGATCCACGGGATGGGCGCCCCCCCGCTTATTTTTAGACCAAACTGAGGCCCAAAGGGCCGAAAAAAAAACCTTTTTTTGAGTCCGGCCCCCCTCCCCTCTTATCTCAGGGTCTAAAAGACCGCCCCCCTCCCCCTTATCTGAAGGTCTGGATCCGCCACTGTCAGTGTCCAGCTGAATGGAAGCAATACGAAAAGAAACAAGTTCAATAACCGTACTACAGTGTAGTGAACAGCTACTGCGTTTAGATACTAGCAGGAGTAACATTTATATACATAGACGTAAAAATTTATTAAAAACAAGTCGCAAATCCGGAAATGGCCGGTCCAAACTACCAGTGGATTTGAACTCCATATGAACTGGCGAAATTGGATAGGACGTGGCTCCGACTAAACTGACCAATCACAGAGCGTGTGGTGTGAATAAAGTCACTGGAATAGAAAAAAGGGAGCAAAGAAACGAAACGTGATTGAAAATAATAGATAGATATGAAATCATAGTGAATGTGAATAGTGTGTTCTGACCCAAATGTTTATTTAGCGTTACGGACGCGCGGGCACCAGACCCTAACGAGATTACTTGCTAGTTCTAGTAGCCTCCTGTGCAGGCGTTTTTAG